CTTAAAATTTTTCTTTATTTTTTAACCTCACATTCTCCATCATAAAGCTACTTCAAAATCCGTTTAAAAAAAAAAAGGGCTCGAACAACCCTTTAAAAACGACATAAAACAATTGAAGGAATAGGAATACATTTCATAATGTGTATATTCTCGAATTAATGGTCTCCTATGGTCTTAAAAATGGTTAAAAATAATTGTACTTTACAAAAGTTGAAAAGAAAAGGAATAAAAATTATATTATCTTGCTCTTCTCTTTCTAAAGGTACAAATACTTTTTTGTGACAAAATAAAGTGTAATAATTTTTTTTTAAAAATAAATCAAAAAAAGAACTGCTTAGTGAAAAGTCTTTGTCCGTTTGTATCATGATTCTACTCGAGTCTTACCAATTAATTAGTATAAAACTAGAAACGAAGTAAAACAATTGAAGGACTAGGAATACATTTCCACCCTGTTTGAGAATGATTTTTTGGCCCAAAATTTTGATTTTTTGACTATTATTTCACTATTTCAGCCGTCATATTTGATTTCTTCTCTCACAGGTGTATCCCACTTTTCTCCTAACAGTCAAAAAATCAATTATCAAAATCAATCCCAAATAGGCTCTTCATAATGTATATATACTCTCGAATAAATTGTCTCCTATGGTCTTAAAAATGGTTAAAAATAATTATACTTTACAAAAGTTGAAAAGAAAAGGAATAAAAAATTATATTATCTTACTCTTCTCTTTCCAAAGGTACAAATACTTTTGTTTGGAATTTTATTTCCACTATCTAGGTACAATTTTAAAATTATATGTTGATATACAATAATAGGAATATTTTTTATCAAGCATGATATAAAAAGGTCGGTCAACATAATAGTTTTTTTTTTTTTTCGACCTCCTCTTGAAGGAAAGCCCTTCATATTCCTAATCTGATAAGATCACACGATTGAATAATATTCGACTCCTTCACTGTCATGTGTTATCTTCACCACATTTTAAATTTCTAACAGCTCAATTTAAGATATAAGATCCTATTAATAATTTTAGTCGTGTATAAATCTATTCAATAAATATCGATACTGATGCTCTGGTATATGAATTTCTAGTACGAAATTTAGTCCAGAGTAGCAAAACATAGGGGGAAAATCGAAGTGAAAACAATTGGCAGGAAAATGTTAATAGAGAGACTCGAAAGGTCTAATAGAAATTAATAGAAACTTGAGGATAGAAAAAAAAAATTTCAAAGATTGACGGGTTCGACTCTCCTTTAATATATAATAGGACATGCTTTGAATCTCATGTCAAATCGATTCATACAGTATAATAAATAAAGTTTTAATAAATTATTTTAACAAAGAACATTTACCTAATCATGTTAGTGAAGAGTAAAGGTCGATCTAGTTAATAATTCTGAAATAAAATAATGGACTGTAATAATAAAGAGGAGAAGAATTTTATTCCAAACATTGACAAAATTGTAAGCAACCCTTCTTTTACAAAAACAATAGTTATACTTGTACGAAGTTCCCTTACAAAGTTGGTTGACAAAAGATGCGTTGACAAAATCAAGGCATTTCAAATGATTTAAAAATCTGTTTTTAAAATAATTTGTGAGGACGTTATTTTGTCAACTTACTTTGTAAACCATGTTTGTAAGCATAACACAACTAAAAAAAAAAAGGGGTGATTGGCACAAAACGTCCCTACCTTTTATGTCGATTGTGGAAAAAGTCCATATCTTTCATTTTTTGACATTTTTGCCCCTATTTCCATCTTTTTTGGCGCTGAACATCATTTTCACCAATTTTGGACAATTTTACCCTCAATTCAAATAAAACAAAAATAAAATAAAGAAAACAACAAATAACTAATTGTAATCGCAATCCCCAATTCTTAAAAAATCACAAATCAGTAACAAATATATACAAAATTTTCAACACAGGTGAAAACAACCATGGAAACCAATTTTTGGCACCAAGGCCACTGGATTTTAACACCACCATCATCTCCTCATCAACCCTAACATCTTCACGTAAATTTCAGCCCCAAACCCTGGCAAAATGACACCAAATTTTGCCCAAAAATCGCCTCTCACGCACGATTTTATTGCAAATTCGACCAAATCCATGGACTGCCATGTTCCATACAACCCACAGGCTGCTCAAGCTCACCAAGACGCATCCATACATATTCCAATTATAACAAACAACCCAGAAAATAGATATCTATAACCAATTTCCAAGTCAGGGAACTCGCAACCGACAAATGCATTTTCTGGCGATGGTGGTGAGACCCATGATCGCCGACCACCACCATAGGACACTACTCATCATGGCGCATCTACTGAGTATATGGTTCTTCCCAATTTGGCATTGAAATGCCTGCTCATTCAGAAACAGTGAACACGCATATAAATCGGTACGATCCCTGTTCAATTGGCATTCCTCCACGAATTGCCTTAATCAGCATACAATTGAAGGTCAAATGATGCTGGATATGGATTTAATTGCTTCAATCATCAGCCAAATGCAACAATTTTGAATTTGACCTCACGAAATGTGGGGTCGTGCGAAAAAGATAATTCTTCATCAATTCATGAGTCTAATGTATCCCAACATATGAATTAAAATGGGGAAACTCGAATTCAGGCCCAAAAAATACTAGGTAATCGTTCAATTTTAGAAATTATAGCACTCGTTTGCCAAATTTTGGAGTCAAATGGTGTTCTTCACACACTTGAAGAAGAAGGAACAAAAACTGGATGTCATTTGTAATTTTTTAAAAATTGGGGGCTGTGGTTGCAATTAGTTATTTTTAGTTTTCTTTCTTTTCTTTTTGTTTTATTTGAATGGAGGGTAAAATTGTCGGAAATTGGTGAAGATGACGTCAGTGCCAAGAAAGGTGGAAACAGGGTCAAAAATATCAAAAAATAAAAGATATAGACGTTTTTCACAATAGACATAAAAGGTAAAGACGTTTTGTGTCAATTACCCCAAAAAAATAATAAAAAAAGAGTGAAGAATTGGTTTTGAAATAGAAATTGACAAATGTCAAATAGATGACCATTCAATTCAAATCAAATCAAAACATTTTGTCCACACGTATGGAATATGCTTTGTACCTTGTAGATGAGTTCAATTTAAGTAGTTTGAATAATTTTTTTTGGATTCGATGAAATGAATAAAGTTTGGATTTGAAAAGACGTGAATGTTAAAAATAAGGATTTTGCTCCTCGAGCTGGTAGAGGAGCCTGTCTCATAGCAGTGGGTCCTTCATTAGGATCCATTATTAAAAAAATGTCAAAAAACATCTACCCTCACCCTCAAATGTGAGTGGAGCTGTTCTACTAGATTATTACAAGATTTGATAGAGCAGCACGATCTTAAAAATAAATGATAACGTATTTAATCAATAGCCTTATCGAAAAATGGGTTGTCCCACCTGTAAAAGGCATTTAACCAATTTTGTCCTTCCCCCTCTCCCCCAAAAAAAAATTCGGGATAGATTTCTACGTGGCAAAAATGCAAATACAAGTAGCATGGTCTTTGAAAAATAATTAAAATTTTACTAATTTTTCATGAAATTATTTTCTACTTTAGCCCATGTTTGATGGTTTTTTCTTTGAAAAGAATAAATTTAAATGAAATCTTCATTATGCATATTTTCTTCATGACTCAATATTACGATTAACAATATTTCATAGTCATGGGTCATTTTGCACCTCAACACAAATGCACGCATGATGGTAAAATTTAAGATAATAATTTAAAATATTGATGATTTATCCCTTAAAAAAAGTGACAAATTATTGGGAAGAATAAAGTTGTTTGTAAATATGAATTGAACAAGGCATTTTACACGTGTTGAGATGAAAGCACTTTACTGATGGTCAACTTTGATTTTTGTCCAAATTTCAATGAAATGATGCCATATGATATTCTGTAACTTCGTCCAGTGACGGAATGAGGATCGACAATTTTTTTATTTTTTTTTAACATGAGCTAAGTTTAAAAAAATTTGCACATAACAAAGTATCTTACAAAAAAAATAAAATTACAAGCAATGGAAATTTGATTAACCATCAGACAAATCTATCTCTACATACAGCATTGTTGGAAATTTGATTAACCGTCAAACAATATTCATAATTCTGCGCAATTATAATAATTTGATATGTTGTTGTTATTCAATTTATTTAGGATTCATTTGACGTAGATTTTGTAAAAAGTGAGTTTTTTAAGAATGGGTGGTGAAAAAATGGGAAATATTATGAATTCACATACAAAAATATTTTAATAAAATTGTAATTAAAAATGAATATATAGAAATATGAATTTTGAAAAAAATTATACCAAACACAGACTTAACATACATATAACGTTAAAATCCAATGACCAAAAGATTTTCCACTTACAAAAGAAACTTTACATGAAGATCTAATGTATTTAGATAATTATATCTAATGCCCGACAATGCATTATTTTTGTAAATTTAAACATGCAACTTTGAGAGGTAGTTTAGTGGTCAAGTTTTGAGTTTGTTTCTTAATGGTTATCAGTTCGATTCCCCCAGGGCTACTAAAATGAGTACTTGACTGTAAACTTCAGGGCTCCATAAGATTAGTCTGTGTGCGCGTAAATTGGCTCGAACACCCACGTTCATTAAAAAAAAAAATTTAAACATGCACAAATTAACGCTTATTCAATTATTTGTTTTAAATAAAAATTAGTAAAATTTATGGTTAAAAAGTTATTGATTGAAATTCGTTCAAGAAAAGACAAACGTGAAGTAATTTTTACAGGTCACAAGAAGCATACTGAGGATGTAACTAAAATGATTATTTATTTTAACTTGTATTTTTATTAATTTTTAGCTAAATCAAATTGGGGCATAATCATTCCATTTCAAAAGATCTTGGCTTGCAATTGCCTAATTCTAGAGTTTAAATTACTCATTATTCTTGTTTTATCAAATAAAAAATTATTAAAATAATACCTATTGTCGTACCAAATATATCATAACAACTTTATTAAATAATAATACGCAAAATATACAAATCTAAGTACTAATCATCCTTTACATGAAAATTTGTTCAAGAACATGTTTTATTTACCACCTAAAAACCCCTAAAAAAAATAAAACAAAATTATATATGTACGCAAATTCTAAGAGGGAAAATAGCAGCATAGGTCCCCAACCTTTGGCCTGTATTGCAATTTAGTCCTCAAATATTATATATCTAACAAAAGAAACCCTAACAAAATGTCATCTGCCAAAACTTCCTGTACAAACAAAGGGCAACACCGGAGCCGGTTCGTAACAAAACGGCGCTGCAGGATGCTGCCACTTTTTCACCATCACCTCCGGCTTCTCCGCCGTAGGCTCCTTATTGTTACTGTTAGAACCGGTCTTGATCTCAGCTGGAAAACAGTTCGACGTGGGTGATTCAACCAACGGCGACAAAAGTGGGATCGCCACGTTCCAATCCGTCACAGGATTTATCTGGATCGACGCCGGGGCCTTTTTCTGCAACCGTGTCAGCTGCTTCTGTTGCCGCCGATTGATGTCCGAATTCTTCTTCAAATTCTCTGCCATTTGGGATTTGGATGTGAGGTTTTTATTTTTGAGGAAAAAAAGAAAGTGAAATTATTAGGAATGAAAAAGGGAGAATTGGATATTGAGAGTTAAAAGAGCGTAAAATGGGTATAAATAAGGGGCACTGGATTGTACGTTGCGTAGATGAACAGACATCACGATTCAGTCAAAGGTGGTTAAGAAAATTGATGGTTTTGCCGTTTTGTTATGCATTAAGCTTCTTTACTCGGCTCGATTCGGCTATTTTTCTTGGCCGGGTTGTGGACCGGATTGTACTTTGATTTTTTTTATTTTTTTCAATTTTGCTAATGGTACATCGGAGCGTACCTAATAGTATACACCTCACTCATATGGACGAAGGACCCATTAGAATAAAATATTCTTTCTTTCACATGAGTTTCACACCCATGTGAGTGGGGTATACATCATTTGGTACACTCCATTATGTACTACTAGACAAATTCTATTTTTTTTTTCCTTTTATAACCGGGGAAAAAAAATAAATAATAGCTCGCCTCGATGCCGGCACCCTGCAGAATGCTTCTTTTAATGAGTTGCCTCTAATATTTTTTAACATTAACCTAGTAAACATGCATTGTATAAAATAATAGATTCATTAAAAATATTGTCTATTTAATTGAATCTATCATAATTGCCTTCTATACTTGTACCAACGAAACTAAAAATAATACTATCCGCTCTTTGCTACTGTTTGATAATCATTAAAATGAGTTTTTTTTATTTATCGAAGAAAAATGAGTTTTGGAATAGTGATTGTTTAAAAGGAATGTGGTTGAAAAAAAATTAGGTTTACTTGCAAAATATTTTATCGAGAAAATGTGTAATTGTGAGTTTAAGGAAAAAGAGCTTCATTTTAATAATTGTCAAACAAGCACTTAATAGAATGAAAACGAAAAATATGATCGTTGACCTGACTTTGTCATCCCTATCTCCCCATAAGTGGAGATTAACGGAGCATTACAACGCTCTTTGTCAAGATATAATAGACACACTTCGATTAATAAGACTATCACTTGATATTATTTTTACCATTAAAAAAAAAAATTGGTCATCAAAAATTAAATTTTATAGAATATAATTTTTAATTATGTCAAGGATGGTTTATCTCTCTCTATCTAGTAACTAAGTTTAAGAATGATGTTTTATAAAAAAAGGAATCATGCCACTTCTACGACTAGTTTGACAATGTGAAAGTTGAAAAACATCTTACTTATTGATTTGAAAAAAAAATGTTTTGAAATAAGTGGCAATGATTTTTACACCTCACATATTGTTAATCTACTTGAACAAACTCATTGTACAAGTAGATTAACTCTATAAAGAAACTCATGATTATAAACAAGAGCTCTAATTTATTAATCATATCTTTGAAACTCACGAGAATTAAATCTAAACATTTTTTTATGAGTTCACCGGGTCAATAAAGGCCATGCACAGATGCACTTATGGAAATAAAATAAAGTGGTTGAAATTTCATGTCAAAGTTTTGAGTTGGAGGAACCCTCAACTTGCAAATAACACGCACGAACCATTTTAGCCCCCGTTTGACCCCCATTTTCTAGAAATGAAAATGGATGAAATGGTATTTTTTGAAAAATGAGTGGTTGAAAAAGAAAGAAAATTTTTCCATTTACGTGAAATATTATTTTATGAAAGATTGTGTGATTGAAAATAGAAGAGAGAAAAATGAAATATAATGTAATGAAATTTAATGGAGGCCAAATTGGGGCTTAAGTCTTCCAACCGTGCCAGACGAACCGCACGGGTGACACACATACACACAGGGGAGAAATATTTTTTAATTTGAGGTGGGACCCACGCCTCGACTGTGAGGGAGTGGTCATCCGTGGTGTCAATGCCGCAGGTCGTCTAACATTTTTCTAAGTCTTCTACAAAGAAAGACGGGGTAATAATCGACCACTTTGATTCTTAAGTTAGTTTAAAAATTTAATACGAAAAATCACATTAACTGAGTTTTGCATTCTTGTTCGAGTACTTGGAGTATGGTGAGCAAAGAGAGTATTTATGGGAGATAGAAGTAGCTCTTGTAAAGTTTGTTCTATATAGAAGTGTAATCATCAACATATATCTTGGCACAATTTACATTTGTTGGAGGTCAGGTCTATGTCCCCCTCATTTATTTGTATTCTCATTTTTTATGATATAAAATGAGCAAAACTAGTGATATTTGCTTTTTTAAAAAAATCAAAATATATCTTGGCACAAAGATTAAGGTAAAATTTCAATTAATAATGCAATTCACAGTGAAAACTATTAGTAGTCGTCTTATGTTGCATGCATATGACAATTTATTATTTGATGCATTAGTATGATAGTTTTTTATTATCTTATGCATCAAATAACAAAGGTCATGTATATTCCACGTAGAGTGACTGTTGATAGTCTTTATTATAAATAGCATTAGTCAAATTTAATATCTTATCATTGTAATGACATTAAGGTCCTATTTGGGAGTTTTTTCACATATTTAGATTGATTTTGGGTGGGATCGTTTACGAGTGATTGGAAAAATTCGTGCTTATTAATTTTTTTAGGTACCAATTTTGGATGGTTTTAAAACCACCCAAAATCGTTGTAATGTTATTTGATCGATTCTTTCAACTCACCAAATCAATGATTTTTTGCTGTTTTTCATTCGCTTACATTACTTATAATGAAAAAATATTTTTGTGTAAAAAATTGATTATACAATAAAAATATTACTAATAAAAATAATTACTTATAAGTAGAAAATTCAATTAAAATTATTTTAAAACTAAAATTTACTTATAATTGTAAAATTTACTTATAAGTAAAAAATACTAACTTTAAATTTTAATTAAATATTTACTTTATTTAGGTTATGTTTGAACTGCATTATTTGAAGAAATATATATTTTTCAATAGTGATTTGATATCATTTTAAGTACACATTTTCAATAAAATAATATTATACATAAATCCAAAACTTTTCCTTATTTTTTAACCACACATTCTCCATCAATCTACTATTTCAAAATATATTCGTAAAAAATAATGTGGCTCAAACACACTCTTAACTTTTTAAGTTAAATATTAACATATATGTTAAAAAAATTACCTATAAATAAAAATATCACTTCTAAGTAAAAAAAAAAAACTCCATACGAGAGAAACTATAAATTGAAAATTAAACTAAGGGACATTTTTTTTGTTAAAAAAATTTGTGGACAATAGACTTTCAAACACTGGTTGAACTTTTTTAAAAATAGCCACCAAAATCAATAAAAATCGTTTCACTCATAAACGTTCAAAGTCGATACATTAAAAAAACATTCATAATCAATGTCCCAGAACTCCCAAGTAGGTCCTAAATCCCTATTTGAGCCTAATTTTTTTAAAAACTCATTTTAATCACACTAAAAAAAAAAAAAAAAATTGCATGTGAATCAATTTTTTTAAACACATATCCTTCAAAACTCATTAAAAAAAATAAAATTGAGCTAAAAAATAGCTTGAATGAGTACTTTGCCTTCAATGTGTCTCTCAAGAGTAACAAGTACACAAATTAAAAGGCATATTCAAGATACTCTCCACTTTTAAAGAGCATAATTTATAATTTGGATAGTATCTATAAATTTAAAGAGTTAAATTTTTTTTAAGTATTTCAACAAATTCTTTAATTTAATACTTAATTTTACTACTCCCAAAAAATATATATATTATTTTTTTCTATCTTTTATTTTAACTAACTTTTCTTTAAACTATTTTATTATTTTTCTATATTGAAAATTGAAACACTTTGAATGCATATAGTTATAGAGATTGAATTTGACTCTTTAAATTAAAATATTAATTGAAAGAATATTTTGGAGCACGATTTTAAAAATTGTCTCTTTGAAATGGAAAACACCTAAAGAGTCTCTTGTGATGCTCTTACTGTGGATCTCAAATTAGTAACTATCTGTTTGATGGTCATTATTAAAAAAAAAAAAAAAAAAATTTTGAATGGTGGTTTTTAAGAATATTTGGCGAAAAAGTATGTAAAATTTTTGAGTATATGTGAAAAAAAAAAATTATTGTATAAATATGAGATTGAAAATAAGTATGATAATTAAAGAATTTTGAAATAATGATTGTCAACCAGGGGCTAAATATGATTATATCGAAATATACCTTATCAAAATAGAAAAATAAAGCCATTAGGCAATGTTTTCCTTAAAGCCGCTCACGTTTACTATTGCGTCAAGCCAAATTTACATTAGAAAGCCGCTCACGTTTACTATTGCGTCAAGCCAAATTTACATTAGAAAGCCGCCCACATTTATTCGAGGTGTCAAGCTGGCTCATCGGACAAGCCACATGGGCAATTTTTGGCCGGTAAGAAGTCAAGCCTAAAAAAGTTAATAAATAAATCTGCAAAACCTAAAAAAATAATAAGTTATTGGAAATAGTAGCTGCATTCACAGGCTGTATGTGCTGCCATGTTAAGGGCTTGTTTGGTAGGGATTTTGATAATTAATTTTTTTATCGTTAGAGATAAAGTGGGTCTTACTTGTGAGAAAAGAATTCAAAAATAACGACTGTAATAGTGAAATAACGGTCAAAAAATTGATTTTAATTGACTTTTTAGCTCTACCAAACAAGCTCTAAGGCAGAAAATATAGGCCTGTATTAGCTACCTACAATAGCAGGTAGCTATCTTTAAAAAAAAAAAAAGCGAGTCCGCTCAATTCGGCTCGCTAAAGCTTGAATCAAAAGTTCGGGTGAAGTCAAGATTTTTTAGTTGAGCAAAAGGTCAGCTCGATTTGGGCAAAAAAGATCGAATCATTTTTATTTGATCTGACCTTGAGTCTCAAGTTTCAACTCACGAACCAATTTGACTCGACTAAACTCATTGACACAATACCCTGTAGGTAACAACTAATTTCCAGCCGAATTACTCAAATTTCCGTCAATCGCTTTGACCAAACAAAATCTGATGCCAATTTTAACGGATCCCTATATACCGTTAAGTTTCCGTCACTTCAAGGACACATATTTGAAATGAACGTTAACTCTCCGTTATCCAAGTAATCAGTTATCAATTAGATCAGCGGCTGAAATTTGACAACGTGCGACTTCG